TATAGCATTTTTAACTATTAACCCTTCTTTATTTAAATCTTTGACTGTTTCTAATACACTAGAACCAGAAGTTACTACATCTTCAATTATAAGACATAGTTTCACACTTTACAATGACCTTCTATCATTTTCTTAGTACCATATGCTTTTGCATCTTTTCTTCGCAATAGCATTGGTTTCTTTACCTTAACACTAAGTAAAGTAGCAATTGGTAGAGCTGTGTAAGGTACTCCACATATGTGATCATATTTTTTATGGTTACTAACAATGTCGTAAAGCAGGACTGTTAATAGTTCCTGAAAAAAACAAGTAGATAATTAATATTTAAATAATGCAAAAATAGCAAATTATATTCCTGAAGTGTATTCACTTTTAGAATTGGATCTGAAATATTAAAATATTGAACATCTGTTTATAACACAAGTATGTTTATACAAGTCAAATAAATTATTAAAATCATATTTCATTTCAATTCTGAATAATAAAAAAATAATTTTATTATTGTCGTTAATTAAATTGATAATATAGCCGGTCCCTTTACACATTATTATTATAAATATTTTGAATACAATAGATACTCTTCAAAACACCACATTACAGCCACAGTACAGTCTCAATAACCTGGGAATAGATATAATATGAAACACAACTAATGTCGAATCTGACGTCGTACAATAAATTCAAGTTAATATAAGACAGTATTAGATACAACTTAAAACATAATTAAAATTGACTTTATAGATATAGCGCCATTGCATAGAAGCCGAACAGGTCCGTCGTCAATTACTAATTTTTAGTTATATAATTATTATATATATATATATATATATATATATATATATATTACTAACTAACACTTACTCTAATTTACCTGAGATTCTTTTTGAATAACATTTCCATCATCTCTGTAAACGACCGCCTGGTTGACTATTCCGCGCCCAACAAAGCCACAATATCTGCACCATTTTCTAAAATTACTTTTTCTGGTGTATTAAACTTGACCCATCGTCCTTAGCACTTTCAGTTGTACGCCAGGAGTTAATTGTAACAGCCCAGGATCTTTAAATGTATCCTATTTTGGCATACAAAACCAGTAATTATATTTGGATTCTTTGAAGCCATGTTCAATTCTGCAGAAATCAAATTTCCCTGTCAAAAAAAATAATTTGTTTACATAACCAGGTTCTAAGTTTAAATTTCGTTTCATTAAGAGCTATTATAGAAGAAATACACCATATTCCAGTACATGTGTGTATGAGATGTCACACAATTAGCCCATTCTGAAATCTTATATAACCCTTTTTGATATTGTAATGATATGTTTACCAATTCCGCAGTTCCATTCCTCATTCAGAATCAAAAAAAATTAAATCTATGTCCGCTAATTGTTTAAGTCGAGAAATGAAATCAGATGAAATATCAACATGGGTTTTCACTAAGCATATCTTTTGTATTCTCCTACTTTTTCTAGAAGTTCGAGAATTTACAGATATGTAAATCGACAGATAAACATAGGTGTTTTTTTAATAGACATTTTAAATCAGTTTTGCTACTAGATTCTTTGATAACTCTGCTCTCTTCTCGAAAGGTATTCGCTGTCCTCAAATTAATCTGCAAACAATTATTATTAAATTGAAATGGACATCAACTAACTATATCAAGTTTATAATAAATGTTATATAGAAATCTATATGCATTATTTGATGGTTTTAAAAAATATTTGTGAATCTTTATAGACATTTCTTTTGTAATCTTTTTATGTTTTTCGAGAATGTCAATTAACTCAGTCATTGTAAATAGTGAATCAATATATACATTATTGGATTCAAGATTCATTCTGCCACCTTGTTCTCTGTCTAAAATAATTATAGCATTTTTAACTATTAACCCTTCTTTATTTAAATCTTTGACTGTTTCTAATACACTAGAACCAGAAGTTACTACATCTTCAATTATAAGACAAGTTTCACCCACTTTAAATGACCTTCTATCATTTTCTTAGTACCATATGCTTTTGCCAAAATTGGTTTCTTTACCCATAAGAAAGTAGCAATTGGTAAGCTGTGTAAGTCCACATATGTGATCATATTTTTTATGGTTACTAACAATGTCGAAAGCAGGACTGTTAATAGTTCAAAAAAACAAGTAGATAATTAATTTTAAATAATGCAAAAATAATTATATTCCTGAGTGTATTCACTTTTAGAATTGATCTGAAATATTAAAATATTGAACATCTGTTTATAACACAAGTATGTTTATACAAGTCAAATAAATTATTAAAATCATATTTCATTTCAATTCTGAATAATAAAAAAATAATTTTATTATTGTCGTTAATTAAATTGATAATATAGCCGGTCCCTTTACACATTATTATTATAAATATTTTGAATACAATAGATACTCTATAAAACACCACATGACAGCCACAGTACCAGTCTCAATAACCTGGGAATAGATATAATATGAAACACAACTAATGTCGAATCTGACGTCGTACAATAAATTCAAGTTAATATAAGACAGTATTAGATACAACTTATTAGTAAGAATATTAATTTTTCACATACCATTACGTCCGGATAACTAACTATAACCCTCAAATCAAAGTAAACAGGTGTCATAGTTCCACTCTTCGTCTTAAACTCCCCGAATTTAACTGCATCTATATCAAACAACTTTATTGCTAGTTCTTCTAGTGTATTATAAGCCATTGTTATTTGATTAAACAAAATTACGATAGTAAACAACAATTATATTATACCACGTGTGTATGTGCGTTAGCGCAGTACTAAGATGCTAAGAATGTTCCATTCAGTTCCATTCATTCAGGGGAGGGGAAGAACAACTCGTAACAAAATATAGGACATCTATGATTTTCGGGACGAACTATTTAACAGTCAGCATCTATCTTTTGTTTCTGTCCATCGGTATTACCACAGATAACTAATATATTACTCATGTATACAAGGTTACTGGTGACTCGACGTTTTCCCATCAGGACTAGGTAGAGGAGCTCAGATGCAATTATTTTGACCCTCTATATGTTTCGAGTTATTCTAAATTATGTGATTTTTAAAAAAATATCCAATTCAGCGTCTTTACAACTTATTAAAAAAAATGGCTTGTTGAATGTATTTCAACCTAATTTTTATGTGTAGAGGACTTGGTAACAAAAACATAATAACTGACAAAATACCCATGAATGCTTAATAAGTATAATAATAGCTAGGACCACAAACGATTTTTTTTTATAACGTTTGTTGAGTTTAAGTGCCATGTAGCTTAAAAAAAACATGACTCTAAGCGTACAAATTACTAATAAAACTTTCTCATCAAATAAGCTGTCTAAAATAAGCTACGTAATAACATTACACTTGAAAACCCATGATTACTAATTCCGAGTATGTCCAAAATTTAACCCGTTCTTTTCCGTAAAATTGATACAGAATACTAAATTTTGTGAAAAAAAAAAACAAGTGATACACGATTTTTTTACAACCAGCCAGTATGTCCTCTAGATCAAAAAATGTTTACATAGGTATAGGTAATACCTTATTACTTGGTAAGAAATAATAATTGATTAATAATTTGAAATAGTATGTCTAGTAGTAGTATGTATGTATGCGTGTTGTTTAATTAAACAGTTAATTACGATAGTAAACAATAATTGCCTTGTAACACGTGTAGAACACAACACATGTAGGTAAATGTAAACTAGCGTCTAGCGTCGCGTCGTAAGAAGCACAAATAACATTCTTCTTTGGTTCCATTCATCCAGGGGACGGGATGTTTTGTTACAAGAACAACTATATATACATCATATATCATTATTAATTATAGATAGATATATATGATTCGAATGTACCTACCCACCTAACCCACAGTAGACAATTATATCATTCTCATTCTCTCCTACATTATCGTTTAATTTTCCCTTATTTCTCCTACGTAGGTACGTAAATTTCATTTTGTTCCCCTATAAAGGCTATCGTTGTACCCATGGTTCTTATTTCATTGCAGTAATGTGAAATTCTCATTCTAATTGTAGAACGATACTTTATTTTATAAATATATATATATCATCAGTAGGTATACGAGAGGAAGTAAACACACAAATTTACAAATTACAACACAGATTTCGCCTTGTTAAAGTTCGACGATTTTATTACATGTAATGATAAAATATAGACAATAAAACGATATTTTTCTTTGTATTCCATTTATTTCACATCTATAGTATAATAGTAGTAGTAGTATATAGATCGGTACTTAAATAAAATGCCAATAAATGCTCTTGCCTTCTTCTGTAGGTTTATTGTATACATGATGTATTTAATTGACCAACCATAATACAAGTCTATCTAGGAATGTCTAAATAGATGCATATCGGCTCTGTGCGTGACATAGTAAGAATACAATATATATATCACCACCAACCCACCTTAACTTCTAGATATTACACATAAGCTAATTATACTTTGATTTACTAGTTGTCATCAGTGCAAGAATAGGGAATAGAATAATTTTAATTTTAAGCACTTATGTAATAAGTCCTATGACGAGACGTCTAAAAATTTTTCACATTAGATTGACTTAGGTATATAGGGTAGGTATGTTTTATAATATATATATGAGTAGGCACTTAAGTTATTGACATTTATCTGTTTTTATATCTTAAATAAATATATTAGACTGGAATGTTTCGAAAGTTATTCACAAATAAAACTTCCGCTTAGTATATATTTTACGATCTATCCTGTTTGTACACAAATATAAGAACCTGTATTTTATAGTTTCTAAAGTTTATAGGACCTCTGTCAAGTCACTCTATTTAAACCAAAACAAATCTAAAATTTACTTTATAGATATAGCGCCATTGCATAGATGCCGAACTCAGCTCCGTCGCTCAATTACTACTTCTTTAGTTATATAATTACTATACCATAATTATATATATATATATATATAATAATAATTTTTTACTCAACTAACACTTACTCTAATTTACCTGAGATTCTTTTTGAATAACATTTCCATAAAGCATCTCTGTAAACGACCGCCTGTGCTTCTGGGCTCTTTGCATTGACTATTCCGCGCCCAACAACCACAATATCTGCACCATTTTCTAAAATTACTTTTTCTGGTGTATTGTATACTTGACCCAGATCGTCCTTAGCACTTTCGAGTTGTACGCCAGGAGTTAATTGTAACAGCCCAGGATCTTTAAATGTATCCTTATTTTGGCATACAAAACCAGTAATTATATTTGGATTCTTTGAAGCCATGTTCAGTTTCTTCTCTGTATTCTGCAGAAATCAAATTTCCCTGTCAAAAAAATAATTTGTTTACATAACCAGGTTCTAAGTTTAAATTTCGTTTCATCTAAGAGCTAAGATTCTATTTATACCTCACTGCTCAATTCAGCTAGAAGAAATACACCACGGTTTTCTATTCCAGTACATGCACTGCTCAGAGCCTTCAATATACCCTCTCCAGGTAAAAAATGAGATGTCACACAATCTCCCCATTCTGAAATCTTATATAACCCTTTTTGATATTGTAATGATACTGTGTTACCAATATCCGCAAATTTCCTGTCCTCCAGAATCAAAAAATTAAATCTGTCCGCTAATTGTTTAAGTCGAGAAATGAAATCAGAAGTAAAATCTTCTATAATATCAACATGGGTTTTCACTAAGCATATGTATTCTCCTACTTTTTCTAGAAGTTCGAGAATTTTTACAGATGATGTCAAATCGACAGATAAACATAGGTTTGTTTTTTTAATAGACATAATGTTAAAGAGTTGTTTTGCTACTAGATTCTTTGATAACTCTGCTCTCTTCTCGAAAGGTATTCGAATTCTGTCCTCAAATTAATCTGCAAACAATGAGTATTATTAAATTGTTGGAAATGGTCATCAATAAAATAACTTATATCAAGGAGTTGATATAATAAATGGTAAATCTTATATAGAAATCAGATATATGCACTTACCTTTAGTTACTGGTGCTTTAACTTCTCTTAGATATTTGTGAAGCTTTATAGACATTTCTTTTGTAATCTTTTTATGTTTTTCGAGAATGTCAATTAACTCAGTCATTGTAAATAGTGAATCAATATATACATTATTGGATTCAAGATTCATTCTGCCACCTTGTTCTCTGTCTAAAATAATTATAGCATTTTTAACTATTAACCCTTCTTTATTTAAATCTTTGACTGTTTCTAATACACTAGAACCAGAAGTTACTACATCTTCAATTATAAGACAAGTTTCACCCACTTTATAATGACCTTCTATCATTTTCTTAGTACCATATGCTTTTGCATCTTTTCTTCGCAATAGCATTGGTTTCTTTACCTTAACACTAAGTAAAGTAGCAATTGGTAGAGCTGTGTAAGGTACTCCACATATGTGATCATATTTTTTATGGTTACTAACAATGTCGTAAAGCAGGACTGTTAATAGTTCCTGAAAAAAACAAGTAGATAATTAATATTTAAATAATGCAAAAATAGCAAATTATATTCCTGAAGTGTATTCACTTTTAGAATTGGATCTGAAATATTAAAATATTGAACATCTGTTTATAACACAAGTATGTTTATACAAGTCAAATAAATTATTAAAATCATATTTCATTTCAATTCTGAATAATAAAAAAATAATTTTATTATTGTCGTTAATTAAATTGATAATATAGCCGGTCCCTTTACACATTATTATTATAAATATTTTGAATACAATAGATACTCTTCAAAACACCACATTACAGCCACAGTACAGTCTCAATAACCTGGGAATAGATATAATATGAAACACAACTAATGTCGAATCTGACGTCGTACAATAAATTCAAGTTAATATAAGACAGTATTAAACCAAAACAAATCTAAAATTGACTTTATAGATATAGCGCCATTGCATAGATGCCGAGCTCAGCTCCGTCGCTCAATTACTACTTCTTTAGTTATATAATTACTATACCATAATTATATATATATATATATATATATATATATATATATATATATATATGTAATAATATTTTTTTTACTCAACTAACACTTACTCTAATTTACCTGAGATTCTTTTTGAATAACATTTCCATAAAGCATCTCTGTAAACGACCGCCTGTGCTTCTGGGCTCTTTGCATTGACTATTCCGCGCCCAACAACCACAATATCTGCACCATTTTCTAAAATTACTTTTTCTGGTGTATTGTATACTTGACCCAGATCATCCTTAGCACTTTCGAGTTGTACGCCAGGAGTTAATTGTAACAGCCCAGGATCTTTAAATGTATCCTTATTTTGGCATACAAAACCAGTAATTATATTTGGATTCTTTGAAGCCATGTTCACACTTTCTTCTCTGTATTCTGCAGAGATCAAATTTCCCTGTCAAAAAAAATAATTTGTTTACATAACCAGGTTCTAAGTTTAAATTTCGTTTCATCTAAGAGCTAAGATTCTATTTATACCTCACTGCTCATTTCAGCTAGAAGAAATACACCACGGTTTTCTATTCCAGTACATGCACTGCTCAGAGCCTTCAATATACCCTCTCCAGGTAAAGAATGAGATGTCACACAATCTGCCCATTCTGAAATCTTATATAACCCTTTTTGATATTGTAATGATACTGTGTTACCAATATCCGCAAATTTCCTGTCCTCCAGAATCAAAAAATTAAATCTGTCCGCTAATTGTTTAAGTCGAGAAATGAAATCAGAAGTAAAATCTTCTATAATATCAACATGGGTTTTCACTAAGCATATGTATTCTCCTACTTTTTCAAGAAGTTCGAGAATTTTTACAGTTGATGTCAAATCGACAGATAAACATAGGTTTGTTTTTTTAATAGACATAATGTTAAAAGTTGTTTTGCTACTAGATTCTTTGATAACTCTGCTCTCTTCTCGAAAGGTATTCGAATTCTGTCCTCAAATGAATCTGCAAACAATGAGTATTATTAAATTGTTGGAAATGGACATCAACAAAATAACTTATATCAAGGAGTTGATATAATAAATGGTAAATCTTATATAGAAATCAGATATATGCACTTACCTTTAGTTACTGGTGCTTTAACTTCTCTTAAATATTTGTGAATCTTTATAGACATTTCTTTTGTAATCTTTTTATGTTTTTCGAGAATGTCAATTAACTCAGTCATTGTAAATAGTGAATCAATATATACATTATTGGATTCAAGATTCATTCTGCCACCTTGTTCTCTGTCTAAAATAATTATAGCATTTTTAACTATTAACCCTTCTTTATTTAAATCTTTGACTGTTTCTAATACACTAGAACCAGAAGTTACTACATCTTCAATTATAAGACAAGTTTCACCCACTTTATAATGACCTTCTATCATTTTCTTAGTACCATATGCTTTTGCCTCTTTTCTTCGCAATAGCATTGGTTTCTTTACCTTAACACTAAGTAAAGTAGCAATTGGTAGAGCTGTGTAAGGGACTCCACATATGTGATCATATTTTTTATGGTTACTAACAATGTCGTAAAGCAGGACTGTTAATAGTTCCTGAAAAAAACAAGTAGATAATTAATATTTAAATAATGCAAAAATAGCAAATTATATTCCTGAAGTGTATTCACTTTTAGAATTGGATCTGAAATATTAAAATATTGAACATCTGTTTATAACACAAGTATGTTTATACAAGTCAAATAAATTATTAAAATCATATTTCATTTCAATTCTGAATAATAAAAAAATAATTTTATTATTGTCGTTAATTAAATTGATAATATAGCCGGTCCCTTTACACATTATTATTATAAATATTTTGAATACAATAGATACTCTATAAAACACCACATGACAGCCACAGTACCAGTCTCAATAACCTGGGAATAGATATAATATGAAACACAACTAATGTCGAATCTGACGTCGTACAATAAATTCAAGTTAATATAAGACAGTATTAGATACAACTTATTAGTAAGAATATTAATTTTTCACATACCATTACGTCCGGATAACTAACTATAACCCTCAAATCAAAGTAAACAGGTGTCATAGTTCCACTCTTCGTCTTAAACTCCCCGAATTTAACTGCATCTATATCAAACAACTTTATTGCTAGTTCTTCTAGTGTATTATAAGCCATTGTTATTTGATTAAACAAAATTACGATAGTAAACAACAATTATATTATACCACGTGTGTATGTGCGTTAGCGCAGTACTAAGATGCTAAGAATGTTCCATTCAGTTCCATTCATTCAGGGGAGGGGAAGAACAACTCGTAACAAAATATAGGACATCTATGATTTTCGGGACGAACTATTTAACAGTCAGCATCTATCTTTTGTTTCTGTCCATCGGTATTACCACAGATAACTAATATATTACTCATGTATACAAGGTTACTGGTGACTCGACGTTTTCCCATCAGGACTAGGTAGAGGAGCTCAGATGCAATTATTTTGACCCTCTATATGTTTCGAGTTATTCTAAATTATGTGATTTTTAAAAAAATATCCAATTCAGCGTCCTTACAACTTATTAAAAAAAATGGCTTGTTGAATGTATTTCAACCTAATTTTTATGTGTAGAGGACTTGGTAACAAAAACATAATAACTGACAAAATACCCATGAATGCTTAATAAGTATAATAATAGCTAGGACCACAAACGATTTTTTTTTATAATTAATAATAGAATTGGATCTGAAATATTAAAATATTGAACATCTGTTTATAACACAAGTATGTTTATACAAGTCAAATAAATTATTAAAATCATATTTCATTTCAATTCTGAATAATAAAAAAATAATTTTATTATTGTCGTTAATTAAATTGATAATATAGCCGGTCCCTTTACACATTATTATTATAAATATTTTGAATACAATAGATACTCTATAAAACACCACATGACAGCCACAGTACCAGTCTCAATAACCTGGGAATAGATATAATATGAAACACAACTAATGTCGAATCTGACGTCGTACAATAAATTCAAGTTAATATAAGACAGTATTAGATACAACTTATTAGTAAGAATATTAATTTTTCACATACCATTACGTCCGGATAACTAACTATAACCCTCAAATCAAAGTAAACAGGTGTCATAGTTCCACTCTTCGTCTTAAACTCCCCGAATTTAACTGCATCTATATCAAACAACTTTATTGCTAGTTCTTCTAGTGTATTATAAGCCATTGTTATTTGATTAAACAAAATTACGATAGTAAACAACAATTATATTATACCACGTGTGTATGTGCGTTAGCGCAGTACTAAGATGCTAAGAATGTTCCATTCAGTTCCATTCATTCAGGGGAGGGGAAGAACAACTCGTAACAAAATATAGGACATCTATGATTTTCGGGACGAACTATTTAACAGTCAGCATCTAAAGTAAAAAGTTAACTATTTAGGTTTCGTCTACTTCGCGCTTTAAATCACGATAAACGTGCTGTCAAAACGTCATAATCACGTACGAATGGATACTTCATGGTACGATTTGGGACGATCGAAACGATATTCTCCGTTTTCGGGCACGATTTCGGAATGAACGTTTTTCATGGTACGAATCACACGAAATATCGATCCGAAATTTCGGAATTGCACTTCGTGGTAGACCTAAAGGTTACTGGTGACTCGACGTTTTCCCATCAGTAGGTCTACCACGAAAGTTACTGCCGATTATCGCGTAACGAAACGAAAGACGACCGAAATACTAGTTTAAAGGAACCATGAAGTTTCTTCGGAATAAGATATTTCGGACGGGTACCATAGACTATGATCGTGAACGAATGAAAGATGAGAGGTCTTTTATTATACACTCTTAAATTAGGAAAAAAATAAAGTGGTATACTCCGGATAAAATAAAATGTACAGTCGTTTATATTTAAATGAAAATTATAAACTTCTAAAATTAGTAGTATTTTATGTCATAAGGAAACGTCAAACCTCTATTTATATTTGAAAATAACGTTACTGCGTATTACAAATATTTTTGTTTTTATTTTTTTATATATAAACTTAAGAATTATCATCACAAGTGTTTTTAAATAATTTTTTATTGCTAAATTTGTTCGTTAAACATCA